ATCAGGTAATGTCTAAAGTACTTAGAGACTAGCAGGGGTTTTGACCTTTATGATAAAAAAGCTCTTAGAAACATGGCAAAGATTCTGAAAAACTATAAATTTATTGTAGCTAGTAATTATTTTTAGTGCATTATGAAGCTCTGACCATATTCACAGTGATAATAAAAAACAAAGATGAAACAATCTCTTTTGTAAAAATCATTTTATGTTAATTATTTTTATGCTTTTATTACTGTGATGGCACGGGTTTGGGCTATTCAGTCAGCATTTAAAATACATACATACATCGTCACATTACATGTATACCTAAAACAATCAGAGGTATTCAAGTACCTTTCCCTAATCTCCTGAAGTATGTTATTAAATGGATCCCTTGATAAGATATACATTCAGTTGTATATTTGTCCCCACTATTTTTCATTCTCTTTACCTAAGCTATTGCTTTTTCTAAAAGTTCAATTTTTAACTAAACATACATACAAATGGATACATGTTACATATATAAAGTTTAATAACTAAAAATCTATGTGCACACCACCAAGCTGAAGAAGGATATTACTTGAAAACCTCATGCATCCCTCCATGATCGTATCCTTTTTCCCACAAGGAACCACTGGTCTAAAAATTTGTGTTTTTCATTTTTCTTTTCTTTTTTAATTTTACCATGTCTGGATAGATCTCTCAATGTACAGCTGACCCTTGAAAACAGGTCTGAACTACATGGGTCCACTTATGCACAGATTTTTTTAAATCAATACAGTATAGTACTGTAATTATATTTTCTCTTACGATTTTCTTAACATTTTCTTTTCTCCAGCTTACTTTTTTTGTAAGAATACAGTATATAGGGGTGCTAGGGGCTCAGTCGGTTAAGCATCTTTTGGCTCAGGTCATGATCCCAGGGTCCTGGGATGGAATCCTGCATTGGGCTCCCTGCTCAGCAGGGAGCCTGCTTCTCCCTCTCCCTCTGCCGCTCCCCCTGCTTATGTGCTCGCTCGCTCTCTGACAAATAAATAAATAAAATATTTTTAAAAAATACAGTATATATACATATAATATACAAAGTATGCATCAGTTGACTGTTTCTGTTGTCGGTACGGTAGGCTATCAGCAGTTAAGTTTTGGGGGAGTCAAAGTTACATGAAGGTTTTTTCCTGCAGGGTCAACTTTCTGTAAAAGAAATCATCTTGTAGGTCTCTTCTGCAACTTGATTTCTTACTCAGATGCCTGCGACTTGTCTGAGGCTGCCAGCTCTAGCTGTGGGCCGTTACTGGCGCTGCAGGACAGCCTAATGGATGAAGATACCACAACCCTGAATCTAGTTTTCCATGTTTTCCTCCTGATAATTCCGTCCTCTCTCAAATTCACAACTATGGTAGAATTTCAGGAATATTCTCTTAAAGTGTCAAAAAACCCAAGTTTTTACATGAACAATTTTTCTCAGCCAGTCCCCTTTAAGTTGCGTTTAATTCTACATCTGTTTAAACCAGTTGTACGATTACATAATTTATATATACAGTGACCAATTCAATATGAATGCAAATGGAAAGTTGTTTTTATGAAAACAAAGTTGAATACTTTGGAAAGACTCAATAAAGGCAAGTAGCCAAGTCAAATTGTTGAACTAAGTGTGGAAAGACAATTGAAAGAATAAGTTAAAAACATTGCAGCCCTCAGACTTCCTTGCAAGTGTTTGAAAATTCTCATCACATTTAAGGAAACCCAAATAGTTTATTTGGAGTGGTACAAGACTGTCAGGGGCTACATGAAGAAAAGGCTTTGGTCCTACATCAAAAGACTGGCTTAGTAATGTACACTTATAGTTCTTAGAAGAAAGTATTTTTACTTTTATGATCCTCAGATTTAAAAGATTTTCTTTTCTAACTGGACCAGTTATCATAGTCAATCACATCAGTAATGGATTCTACTCCATTTACTTCTACTTTTATTTCCACAAAGGATTCAGGTAGCTTACAAAGAAATAAATACTGACAAATAAATTTAAAATAAAAAAACTGAAGCAATAAGTAAATAGGGTAGAAAAGAGAGATGAAGCTGTACTCACACCAAAGAAGGAAGGCCGTGTTTCCATTATACTTTGCTAAAGATAATGTGTCTCTAAGTTTTCTGGCAATCAGTACAACAAAACAAATACAATCAGTTATGATATTCAAATTATCAAAGAGCTTAAATCAAACTTGATACTTAGGGAAGAAAGTATTATCCATAATATAGAGATCAGAAAAAAATTTCTCCAGTAGAGAAATTTATTTATAAGGTAATGATTGAACTACCAACAAATCCCTGGAGTAAAAATCGTAACAAGTCCCATAGGACTGTGTTTTGATGAAATACATATCAAACACACATGCATACATACAGATATAAATGTGGTGACACATTTTTTAATGAATGACATGATGCCAAACTACTATTTAGTAAAAACAATTCTAAGAAGATTCTGTAATCCAATTTCCCTACACTCTGACAATATACATTAATTCAGGATTAGATTTTAGAGTAATTGAAAGCAGTGGCTCTTAAAATAATTTTGGGTAATGTACTCTAAAATTCTGATGAAAATCTGACCAATTCCCCCAAATCCTATATAGAATTTCTGAGAAGTTTAAGTACCTCAGAAAGCCTAACCAGGAATGCCTGGGGTATATGACTCAAGGTTAAAAACTCTTGGACTAGAGTTGTCATTGTGATTATAGGTCCTTCATATAGTGCTTGAAAACCATTTTCTCTGAGCATTTTGAAAGGTGTTAAGCTTAAGTGCATTCAAGATTACTCCTTTTGCCAAGTACCTGGAGTGAAGCTATTCTAAGCTGTAAGTGAAATGCAGAGCCATATGCTCTTAATGATCTGTTGAGCTAAGGTAGGCCTCACTTCCTTTCCTGAGAACTGAGCTTAATAAAGACATAAGTCTCAGCACATTATTCAGTTGGAAGCTGAGAGGGTACTTGTCTATAGACCCAAGATTTTCCTTAGAAAGCAATCTGGGTACATTCTCAATAGGAAATAAACAACCAGAGATTCCATGCTATAAAGTATGAAAAACTTTTAGCCTAGAAAAAAATATGTAAATAAATCCAACTAAATAAAGTATCCAGTAAAGTACACCCTATTTTTAAGCAATGTAATTTCTGATTTATGTGACAGACTTACTTACTAGTCTTAATTCTTCACTCCTCTGTTGTACTATTACACATTCATACCCTTACCAGAGCCTCACTGTAGGCAAAGTGTGTATCCCTGCCCCATCACTTTGGGCTTAGTCATGTGACATGCTTAGTAACAGTAGGTAAGCAGTTACGACATGAGCAAAGGCTTCAAATGTGTTTAACTGGGCTTACTCTCTTGTGCTCCTGCCTTCTGACAAAAGAATATGCTTCAGACAGCTATTGGTTCAAGGAGGTTGAGAAACAAACAGGGAAGATCTAGACCCAAGAAACAGCCTGGAACCAAGCCCAGGCTTAGCCTTGATCAGCTGAACCCCAATCCTATATATGAGTAAGAAATAAAGGTTTAGGTTCGTATGAGTTTTCGGATGATTTCTTATGAACTGTTATTGTGGCAATTACTAACAAATACAGTAAATACAAGTTGTAGGTTGCAAAATGTAAATATCTATAAATGAATTGCTATATGCACTACTAGCTTTAAGTTCCCCGGGGGCTTACATGCTAAGGGGAGAAAAAATTTCTTTTTCCCATGAGGGAGGGTGACAGCATACCAAAGTAACAATTCCCATCCACTCTATTTTACTGAGAGAGATGTTTCAGACTATTTTTCTGTCTATAAGGTTTATGTTCAAATAGCTCAGTGTATCAAAGGCAAGGAGGCAGGACGGACAGATAAGTCCTGGGGGGATGAGTATTTTTAACCCTGAAATTATTTAGAATTGGCCGTGCATGGTGACAAAAAGAAGACTGAACTGTAGCTGGTTTTACTACTGTTTTAAAATTCTCTGCATATATCCCCTTATTGATTGAGTGTGCCTGGGACACACTGCTCCCTTCCCTTCCCAACTCCTTCTCCCTGTGAGCCACTAAAACAACTCATGATTATCAGGACACAGAATTCCAAAAATAGAAGTCTTAAAAGTAACTTATGCAAAATACCTAAGTTATTATTAAGTGCAGTAGTACCAGAAGTTCATTCATTTTATGAATATTAAAAGCTTTATAAAGTTAATCACAATGGAAAAAATTAAGGTCTTTGAATTATAACCAGATTAACATCACAATAGGAAATTATCTCAAATGTAAAGCCATTAAACTAAGCTGGTGCTTATTCACTCTATAATTCAGATCATACAAACCACTTAGTACAAAATTCCATTTTCAATGTATTCTACTAACTTTCTTTATTCATTACTCTGGTTTTAGATGTGTAGATGTGTAACTATCTCAGAATCACTGAGGGCCAATGAAAAATAAGAGTACTAATGCTCCAAGATGATTTCTAGTCAAATTAATACAGGTAATAAAGATTATAAAGATATCAATACCTATATAATTCAGTAAAGCTTTTTTTAATTACCCAAATGGAGCTATCACATTTCAATTCAAATTTTAATAATCTAAAAAAAGCAGCTATCATTTCTGGATTTCAAATTAAATAAAAAGGCACTGTTAAACAGCATAGTTCATGAATAATCATTTGAAGTTCCGAAACTACAATCTTTCCAATTTAAGAATATTCAGAACTGTATTAATTGGAAACTACAGCTAAGACAAAATTCTTTAACATTAGAGTAATATATAGTCTACTTGTGTATAAAATATAATATGTAATGTTATATATAACAATATATACTGTAAGTTATATATATTACTGCCGGCTTTATTTTTACACAATGAATCCCACCATAGGTAATAAAATTATAAAATAACTAGCAATTAGAATTAATCCAAATGAACCCCAGAATATTTTAAAAATCTTACATTTGTTAAGCAAAGTTTACTTATATTTAGTATTAAAAGTTTACATACCTGACGTTCCAAAAACTACATCCCAAGGAGAACTAATGGGTTGTTCTTCTCCCTGAGCTCCACCTTCTTTATCTGTACCTTGAATTCCAATGCCAGCTACAGTGCTCACCACCTCAGCTTCTAGATCAATCTATAAAAATTAACAAGTTTTATGCAATGCATGTTACTTTTGTTTTTTCCTTTTGGTACATGAAGATTTCCAATAGAACATATAGAAAGTTTTTGCAACACAAATACTCTTAAAAAAAAAAAAGGCTAAAAAAAGGGGCTAATCAAGCATAGGGCGAGCTTGTTATTCAAATGCACAAAACTCAGTGCTTTTCATTTCCCCACCCATCCCCCCCTTCCTCATCACTGGCCTCTACCAGGATTGGTGTTGATGTCATCTTAACTATAAAATATGTTAAAGTGAAATTTGAAATTTCAAAGCAAAACCTAGAAAGATGCAAGTTTCTTAAAATTAAATGTATGTATTTCAATTATGCTTGACTAGTAATTGACAAATATAGAGCTTAATATGTGCTAGGCACTGATCCAATAATCATCCATCCATCCATCCTCATAATAACCTATGATTGTGATTTTGATTAATATTGAGGAAACTGAGGCACAGATCATAAAGCAGCTTTCCCAAGATCCCACAGCTAGTAAGTCAAAGATCTGGGATTTAAACCCAGGCAGTTCTAGCTCTACATTACACTGCCTCTACTTTATAAACTGAAATAATGAAGTCTACTGAAAAAAAGATGCTTTGGTTTCATCTCCTGAGATCCTTCTGCCAAATTTATCATGAAAATTACCAAGCAAACATAAAAGTTGAAAGAATTTTGCAGCAAACATCCATACACCCACGACCTCATATCAACATTTCACGTACTTGCTTTATCACACATCTTACTGAGCTATCAATCCCTCAATCCATTTACACTTTTGGATGCATTTCAAAGTAAACTGTAAACATCAGTACGCTGACCTTAAGTATCTCAGCATGCTTATAATTAACAAGAATTCCATATTTTTTCAGGTCCATTTTCTTTTCTGGAGCCAAAACTTACAATGAAATGCACATACCTTAAATGCTCCATTCAATGAATTCTCATAAATGCATTAATCTGTGTAGCCTCAACTTACATAAAGATATCAAATGTTATCTTCACTCTAGTAAGTTCCCTTAAGCCTCCTTCCAATCACTCCTACCCCCAGAGGCAAAGAGTATTGTTTTTCCATCATAGGTCGGTTGTATCTCTTCCAGAATTTCAGATAAACAGAATCAAACAATATGGACTCTTGTGCGTGAGGCTTCTTTCACTTAACAGGTTTCTGAGACTTATTCATATATAAGTAGTTCATTCCTTTTTCCTGCTGAGCAGTATTCCATGATAGGAATATTCCACAGTTTATTTACTTATTTTCCTACTGATGGATACCTGGACTATTTCCAGTTTAGGGGGTTCAAATAGAGTTGCTCTCAATATTCTTGTATAAGTCTTTTGCTGAAGGTATCTTTTCACTTCTCTTGTGTACATACCCAGGGCTGTAACTGCCGTGTTATAGGGCAGTTATAGGATTAGTCTGATTAAAAAACAAAAAACAAAACAAAAAAAAACTGCCAGAAGGTTTTTTCTCAGTGGTCTATCATTTCCGTATTTTCTCCAATGATCTACGCAAGTTCCAATTGCTCCACATCCTTGCCTTGCCAAACTATGGTGTCGTCAGTTGTTCTTTTTTTTTGTCAGTCTTTTTAATTTTAACCATTATGGTGGATGTATTTCATTATGCTTTCACCTTGCATTTCCTTTTTAACCTGTGATGTTGATTACTTTATGGGTTTGTGGTCATTCTTACATCTTTTGAAAAAGGTCTGTTCAAATCTTTGCCCATTTTTTATTTGTAGGAAACTTTATATTTCATGGATCTTAGTCCCTTCAGATATGTTTTGTAAATTTTTGTGACTAATTTCTGACAGCCTGTAGCTTGTCTTCATTTTCTTAACAGTAAATTTTAATGAGTTTTAAGTTTTGATAAATTCAAATTTATCACTTTTTTCTTTTATAATTGTTTCTATGTCCTGTCTTTGAGAAACCTTTGCCTACTTGCAAGTCACAAAGATTCTCATGTTTTCTTCTAAAAACTTTATGGTTTTAACATTTACATTTAGGGCTGTGATGCATATTGAACTGATGTTTGTAATATGATGTGTGAGGTAGAGGTCATGTTTCTGTTTTTTCCCCATATGAGTATGTAGTTGTTCAAGCACAATATGCAGAAATGACTTTCCTTTCTCCCTTGATTACTTTGATGCTTTTTGAAAAATCAAATAACTGTGTAGGTATGAGGTTACTTCTAGACATTCCATTCCTTTTTATTGAAATACACATCTATCCTTATAAAAGTATCACAGTCTTGACTACTGTAGCATTAGAGTAAGTCTTTAAATCACATAGTGTGTCTTTTAACTTTGTTTTTCCAAGATTGTTTTAGGGATACTAAATCCTTTGTTTTGCAACCTCCATGTAAAATATTGGAGTCCACTTGTCAAGCCTGATGGACTTTTGATTGAGATTGCATTGAATCCACAGATCAATTTGGAGAGAACAGATATCTTAATATTGAGCCTTCCAATCCAATTATTGGATTAATTTTTCTCAGTAATGTTAAATTTATTCTATGTATTTTTTTATTACTGTAAATAAGATTTTAAAATTCTAACCTATTACTAGTATATAAAAATATACTTTGTTGATCTTTTTATACTGACATTGTATTCTGCAACCTTCCTAAATTCACTTATCAAGTAGCTTTTCTCATAGATTTCTTAAAATTTTCTATGTATGTGACATGCAATTGGCAAATAAAGACAGTTCTTTTTCAGCCTGTATGCCTTTTCCCTTTCTTGCCTTATTACAATGGCTGGTACTTCCAGTATAATTTTTAACAGGTATGGTGAGAATGGGGATCCTTGCCTGGTTCCCAATCTTGGAGGAAAAGTATTCAATAATTTGCATTAAGCATAGCTATAAGCTTCTTGCAGATGCCCTTTATCATATTGAAAATGTTCATTTACATTTCAAGTTTACTAATTTTATCATAAATAGAAAAACATTTAAAAACATTTGATACCTAATCTAGCAATCATATGGTTATTATCTTTTATTGTTACTATGGTGAATTACATTGATTTAGTTATGCAGTATCCTCTTGAATTCTTTTTAGTGGCTGTTCTATAATCTCCTGAAATTGTAAAGAATATTCATCAATGTAACCTTATTTGTATTTTACTGAACCCAATCTGCAAAAATACAATAGGCAGCTAGGGATGGGTCCTTGAAATACATCTTGATTTAAGAAATGTATCAAAGACTTGTTATGATAATTCCTCTTGCAAAAAGCCAAAGGCCCAGGTGATGTTTCAGGGGAGTTTTATGAATATTCAAAAACCATTAATTCCTATGTTAGACAAATTATTCCAAAAAACAGAAAAAGAGTGAAAACTAATTAGCTTATTTGATGAAGTTGGTGTGACCTTGATTCCAAATCAGGTGAGAACAGTATAAGAAAATATAGAGCCATTTAATTTGTGAACATGAATTTTAAAATATTTAATTTGGGATAATCAAATCCAACTTGACTTTTAAAAAAAATTCATGATTAGGTAAGATTTATCCCAGGAATAAAAAGGTGACGGAATAACAAAAATCTATTAACTCATTACATCAAGGCACCAAGGGCAAAAAAACTATACAGTTATTTCAAGAAATGTAGAAAAGGCATTTAATAAAATTATATAATAAAATAATTCTTAGTAACCAGGAAAGTTTAACCTCATGAATAATTTTATTTCCCAAAGTTATAAAAAAATATTACACTTCTGGAGAAAATCTACTCCCTTTAAGATTATGAGCATGACAAGATATCCACTATTACTGCTAATGTTTAAAGGCATTTGAGGTTCTTGCCAACAATAAAAGAAAACAAGATGTGTAAAAATAAGAAGGGAAAGATAAAATTCCCATTTGTTTTGGCAGACAATATAATTATTTATATGAGAAACAAACAGGATTTTACAGGAATGGATGGGCTAATCCTAAAATTTATATGGAATTGCAAGGGACTCAGAACAGTCACAACAATGTTGAAAAAGAAGAAAGTGAGAGGATTCCTACTTCCTGATTTCAAAACTTATTAAAAGTTACTGCTATCAAAACAGTGTGGTAGAGGCATAAGAACTGATATATGTCAATGGAATAGACTTGAAAATCCAGAAATAAACCCATGGAGGTATGAATAATTATTTTCCACAAGGTTGCCAAGACTACTCAATGGAGAAAAAACAGTCTCTTCAATACACAATTCCGGGATAACTGGATATCCATATTCAAAAGAATGAAGTCAGACCCCTACCTCACATCATATAAAAAAAAATAATAAATTCAAAATGAAGCAAAGACTGAACTGTAAGAGCCAATAACTATGAAACTCTCAGAAGAAAACATAGGAGTAAATCTTCATGATCTTGCATTTGGCAATGTAATATCTTACGTAGGACACCAAAAGCATAAGCAATGAAAGAAAAAAATTGGGAATCCTCAAGATTTAAAACTCTGTACATCAAAAGATATGATTAAGAAAGTGAAAATGACAACCCACAGAATGTGACAAAGTATTTGAAAAATCACATATCCCATAAGGGATTTGTATCTAGAATGTATAAAGAACTCTTACAACTCAATAACAAGAAATGCAACCAAATTAAAAAACAGGTAAAGAATCTGAACACTTTTCAAAGGAAGATATACAAGTGGTCCATTAAGGATGGGAACAGATGCTTGACATCTTTACTCATTAGGGAAATTATTATCAAAACCACACTGAGAGGCCAAGTCATACCTAGTAGGAGGGCTAGAACTTAAGAAATGGAAAATAACAAATAATGGTGAAGATATGGAGAAAATGGAACCCACAAATATTGCAGGTAGAAATGTAAAATGGTACCACCACTGTGGAAAAGTTTAGCAGTTTCTTAACAAGTTAAACATAAAATAGAAAACAGTATAATTTTTCCAGTATAATAATATAGTAAGTCTTTAAATCACATAGTGTGTCTTTTAACTTTGTTTTTCCAAGATTGTTTTCAACAATTCCTTTACTTAGGTATCTACCAATAGAAATGAAAATGTATGTTTACACAAAATTCTTATATGAATTCATTACAACCAAAAATTGTAAACACACTAAATCTATCAACTGGTGGAAAATGTGGTATATCTATACAGTGCAATGCTATTCAGCAATGCAAAAGAATAAACTACTGACTGATATGCTACATCATAGTTGAACTTCAAAAACATTGCTCAGAATAAAAGAAGACAGACACAAAAGGCCATATATTATATGATTCTATATCTATGACATGTTCAAAAGAGGCAAATTTATAGACAGAGAGTAGATTAGGGCTGGGCCTGAAAATAGGGA